TCGCAGTTTTTCACACTGTTATTGTTATGCATGGACGACCACTGCAAAATTTCCACATTTTAGTACTGCCTTTTCAAACTTTTTTGTACACAAATAGCATTTGTTGTATTGGTTATAATAATATCCTACAAAAACTCATAACTTTTGTATTTATAAAAACAAGTTTAAAAAAGTTGTACTCTTGTTTTGATACAGATATCCATTCGTTGCTTACATGAGTTTTTTTTTATTTTCTGTCAATATAACAAGTTTATATCGAATTTTTATTAAGGCCTAACTTCAATTTGCTGCCATTTATGCATTTAGTTGATATTGCAACAAAGAAGCGTTTCAAAAATGTGCAAATTAATATTTTAAAAAGGGGTTTTCATTTTTTCTTTCTCGCACATAATTTCATAACGTTTCAGATCGCAGTACATTCCATTTACATAAGGAAGGTTTCCCTTAAATTTCTTTTTGTTTTGGTTCTTTACCAGTACATTTGGCTTCAGTCAGCTCACAAAGAAACGGGAGAAAAAGTCCAGTAAAGAGTAGGAGCCACTCATAGGTGAGCACCTGCTTAGGTTTGGCAGAGCATTAGTAAAGTGCTGTATGCACTGGAAAAAAATAATAGTCAAATGTCGCATTTAATATTCTCATTAGAATCAAAAAAGATTAGCACATCCGCTGAATATGAACTCATATCTTAAAATGATAATGATACATGTATTACTATAAGATCCTTGACATTTGACATTATTCGCAGGTTTTTATTAAAACTCTTCAACGAGAATCAAAGGTTCAGGCTTATATCCAACCATTGGTATGTTTATATTTGTTTACTTTAAAATAAATGAATTTTAACTTTGAATGAAATTTGAAATAAATATAAGCATATAACAATAAAGTGAATTTTCCTTTAAGTGTGTATTGTTAGGAAGCTTCTGCTGCTTTTGTTGCTGTTGGCACTAATAGTTTCCCAGCTCGTAAGAGCTTTGTTGCTGCTACTCCTTGGCTTGGCACTTCGATCTAAGTTGGCTAGCAACTGGAATCGGCTTGGCTTTGCTTTGCCGCTTAGTTTTCGCACTGCTCCTCTCTGAATGCTTTGTATCTGTGCGAGACGGTGGCTCCTTGTGTGCTCACCATGGCGGAAACTTGCCAGGCAATTTCCGCTTTAAGTACCATTAAATTCGTATTCGTTTTAATGAGCTCTCAACATGATGCCACCACCTCCTGGCCTTCGGCCGAAGATTTCTCTATATTTTTCAGACAGTCAGTCAGTCATCCTCATCTCCCTGGGCCATCGTTTTAATGACATTCGATTCGTGTGTCTATCCCATGCTGAGTGTGCCCTTTGTTTAGACAGCATGAGGCTCTGTTTTGGGACCTCCTTTGCTTTACGACCTTTTTGATGGGCTTTTCATTTTATTTCGTACAATTTTCGACCAGTCGACGGTGAAATCTGCTTAGGGTTCACGCTAACTTCTATTTGAGTTTGAAAATAATATCAAATGTCAACGGGAGCAAAGTAGTTTGATCTGATACTGATTCAAAGAAATTTATTTCTGTGTCATTAAAATTATCAAAGAAAAAATTATTGCTTTGCAAATGTATTTTTATTTTTGAAAAATACGATTAAATTAGTTTACCTATTTGTTATCTCAATAATATAAGCCAAATTTAATTGGTCTTTAATTATAATAATATAATTATTACTAGCAAATCCATGTACATTTCGGACAAATCCACTTAAAATATAATTTCGCCAAGCTCTGTTTTTAGTGTGTGCATATAGGTAAGCCGCAAATCGATTATAGCGCACTGCACACCTGAGGACAGCGGGCGTTACCAAACGCCGTTGGTAAACTAATTAATTTTCATGTCTTTGCCATGTCTTAACAATGCGCATACGCCGCGTTGCACATATTTACCTTTGCTTGCAAAATATCCGATAAATAATTCAGAGCGCATGTGAAACTAAAAACAAAGTAAAGTTAGGATCCCAGCAAAGAACTGGACTTAAAGTAGTTCGTGTTTGCGACTTATCTGGGCAAATGGATTATGCTACAGCATTTTGGGGCAGCTCAAAATAGGGAGCAGTTGAGAGGGAGCCTCGCCGCCCACTATTCGAAATCCCCATCTATTAGTGCCAGTAAAAGCAATTATTTGAGTGGAAACTTTGAGACTACCGCTGTTAGTAAAGAGCTGCTTTTGCAGCTGCGGTGGCTGGGTTGCTTTTGGTTTGGCATTATCTCGTTGCGTTCCACGTTTTTAGTTAATGCTGAAAATAAATGCTCCTTAAGTAGGACTGGCACAACAACTTTTCCACCCTCTCTGCGGCATTGTATTTAACCAGTTCACTGTTGATGTTAATGGTTTACCTGTGCGGATGCGGTTGCGGATGCGGGTGGCAGAGGGACCGCCAGAGTTGTCCAATAGATTAGTTTTGCAATTTTTCAGCTCAACACTTTAGAAGGATTAAGTGGGTTGAGCGGCACAACAATAATGGCAGACCAACTGATTTTTAATGGATGTCGGACGGCAACGGACATAATTTAAATATGCATTAAAGGGGATTTTTGCAGGTTTCGAAAAGCTTTCCTGTATTTATCATAAATCACAAATTGTAAATTGTGACTTGCAATAAAATAATATTAATGGAAATCCATTATATAAGCTTTAAAACCATAGTCTTAGAGTTTAGCTAAAAAATAGTGAGTTTATATTAACATTATTGGCAATTTATAATTATAGATAAAGATATATTAAGTTGGATTATTCAGATTTTATGAGCTTAGTAAATTAATCAAATAACGAATGTAGATACTTCAGTTCATTTTATTTTTCATTTGGTATTTGGTTAGACGATTTAAGTAACGTTTTCTTCCAATGAATGAATTAAAAGGTCTCAGTAACTAAATTATTATTTATAGCAGGATTGCAACGTCTTTAGAATATATTAAAGTGATTCACTTTAATTACCGTCGCTTCAGCCATTGGTGATTCCTTTTTTGTTAAAGGTCCTTTAGAAAGCATTTGAATTTACATTTAAACTTTGAATGCGACACACCATTCAGGTCACATTTCGCTTCGACAATTTACTTACAAGTCCAGCCCATTTATATTCCATAGACGGCACACCGTTCTCAACTATTTGCCTTTCGAGTGCAAAATGCTGGAAATTGTCACATCAAATTGGACAAACTTTGAACAGGCGAATGGCATCCACGTAAACACATTCACTCGGCAAATTAAATAAACACCTCTTTTAGCATTCACACAACGAAATGTGCAATTACATTACCGACTAGGAGTATTTGTTTGGGACTGGGAAAAGGGGATGATGACAGTTTCTGGCTTTGAAATTTCCATAACATTTGAATCACCTGTCGGCAGAACAATTTATCATATGCTGACATGGCAACTGTCACTGCCAGGATACGTGAAAGGTGTCGGAAGTGGGATGGAGTTCTGAGGAAGCGGAGCAGCCACACATCCTGGTATTTTGTCCTCCACTTGCCACTTGTCGGACCGCTTTATTAGCCACATTGTTCTCGGCCGGTTGTCCGGGATTTTCCACTATGTTTCCCAATGGAATTCGCAATTTTTCGTATTTTCGTATTTTGTAGCGCACTTTTATTTCTTTTTTTTCTTTATCAACTGTTTGTCATGTCAACTATGCACCCCAACTCAAGACAACACTTAATTATGTTTTCTGTTTCAGGGAAAACTTTTGCAGCAGGAGAAAAGCGAGGAAGGAGAGAGAGAGAGAGAGCTAAAAGAAAAATTACTCCAAATGGCAAAATGATTCCGGCGCTGTTTTCTCCTTTGGCGGCTGCATCATAAATTATTGAAGTTGCCAGTCTGTCATAGCCATGTAGTTTTCTTTCCGTCTCTTTTCATTTCATGCTTCTCATCTCGCTCATATTCTCTGTCTTCGTCTCTGTCTCAGTTTTGCAGCTGGGAATTTAATTTGGCACCAGGTGCCAAGTCGCGACCCCGTCTTTAAGCAAAGCCATCGTGGCAGAAATGTATAGAAAATAAAATGAAACTTTTCCACTTATTTTTGCTGCCACAAAAACGGACAAGAGAAGAAACTAATAAAATGTTTTATTTTTCTTGCGGTTTCCTCTAGTACAAAATTTATTTTGTTTTCGCATAACTCGAGAATGTTTTTCGCCACTGTTATGTCCGCCACTCAATAAATAAGTAGCGTAAATAAACCCACCTCCTTTAGGGCCAGCTTGTCTGTGAGGTAAAAAACTTTTGGATGGCAGCTTTGTCCCGTTTACATGACAATTTGACAGTTTATTAAGTTGCAGCAGACCTGCCCTCGGGGTTGGGCTCCTCATGGAAAACTTAGAGTTGCTTTTTCCCAGGAGACCAAACTTATCCATAAACTATTCAATTGACTCGAGTGTTTAAGGAGTATTTTGTAAAGCGTTGATTGTCACATAATTAAGTGAAATCGAAAAATCAATAAATAGAGGATGGGCACTACTGCTGCTACTTATTGCAGGTAGAAAAAGTGTCGATATCCTTCAAACGACTAGCTTCGTTGAAATGTAAAATATTCTTACGATTCTAGAAATGCCTTTCTAATTTAAAAATTTGTTCGCAGTTATTATAGGTGCAACAGAACTATTCATTTACTAAGAACTAATTAACGTGGAAATATGGCCATTTAGTGCTTAATCTTCTTTTTCTTAAATTACTTTTAAAATTATATCAAGAGGAAGAATTTTTTATCTGCAAAGTTTTCTAGGAGTATTTTTCCGAATAAAAATTAAAATGTACCTTAAAAAGTAGAAGCTAAGTCACAATGAGCGTGAAATTATGAAGGGTATAATAAACTTCAGTTATGATTAAATTGAAAATATATTTGAAGCAGTTTACGTCTGCCCAATGAGGTACAAAATATTTGTCCAGAAATTGATGTCTTATTATCTCACATTTAAGTTTCTCCTTGGCTAAATCGCTGACTAGACCCAATGTAATTTGCGAAAATAAAACCACACAAATAAGGATCCCAACGTGGACCACATAACTTTTAAATGAAACTAATTTTGATATGTGGTACAAAAAGTTGTTGTGGCTACTATTTTCGCTTGCTGGTGGCCCCATCGCCAATGCGATCGTATTTGCTCGAAAGGCGGATATGGGAGCGATCCGCCTGCTGTGTGGAAGTCCTGAGCCGGCGATCCTGTTCCTCCCTCAAGCGCTCCTTTTCCCGCTCGCGATTCCGATCCACTTGTCGCTCGCGTTCCCGTTCACGTTCCTTAGAACGACGTAGACGATCTCTTTGCTGCTGCTGCAACTGGGTCCAGTCGTATATAAAGTCGTACTGGTGGTTCAGAGATCGCAAGAGAATGCCGAAGAGTTGGCGCAAATAGACATGGTCCGGTGGGTCCTTGAAGCGAAGATTTCGGACGTAGGTCAACAGCAGCGCAAACTCGGAGGGAAAGCCCTTGCAGAGCTCCGCAATCGTAACGCTGCTCTTCTTGGCCAATATCTTCTCGTACTTCTGCTTCTTGTTGGCGGCCGTGATACCCTGCCAGGGCAATTTGCCCAGATTAAAGTACATGACGCAGTAGCACAGGGATTCCATGTCGTCCCGGCGGGACTGCTCCACTCCCATCTGGGCATTTATCGAGGCGTAGCGAACGGTGCCCGTGAGATTGCGATCCTTGCGGTAGGGGATGTGGGTCTGCGAATCGCTGTCCTTGTACCTCTTGGATAGGCCGAAATCGATGAGGTACAGCTTATTGCTTTGCTCTCCCAGACCCATCAGGAAGTTATCGGGCTTGACGTCGCGATGTATGAAGCCGTGCTCATGGACGCACTCCAGTCGCATCAGTAGTTGATCGGTCAGCATAATGACGGTTTTCAGGGAGAATCGCCGCTTGCAGAGATTGAAGAGCTCCTCGAGCGAAGGACCGAGCAGCTCTATGACCATGGCATTGAAGTTCTGCTCGCTGCCAAAGTGCAGCAGCTGCGGAAATCCCGGACTGCTTATCATCTTTTCGTACACCTTGGCCTCGTACATCAGTTGCGGATACTTGGCATCGTTCGACTCCACTTTGATGGCCACCTCGGACCCATTCTTTATGTTCAGTCCCAGATATATATCGCCGAAAGATCCGGATCCAATCGGCTTCATCACCCGATACTTGCCGCCAATTAGCTGGTTCTCCAGTTCTAGCGACGTGTTGCGAACTCGACCCGTGGATAGTGGCTTTTGGTTTTGGGCCATCGTGTCGATACCCGGATTCCCAAATCGATATTTTCCCAATCTGATTCGTTTCTTTGCGAAAGCGTCCTCAGACTGGGAACTCGAATTGATCAAATATAAGATATTCACTTTCGTTTTTTTGTAATTTTCTACGGGTGACTGTTCTTTTTAACCGGATTTTGACGTTCTGGGCATTTTGTTTTTTTGATCACCACGGGCTGGCTACGTTCCTAAAATACTGACTAAATAACTAAAGCTATATGAAAACTCGTATTGAAATGGAAAAGGTACCTTTGTTACAAGCTACAAATTATAATTAACTTAGAATATTACAATTCCAAACATAAATTCATCAAATACTACTGTCACCATTCATCAGCTAAAAGCGGAAATTAAATATTAAGAGTCGTAATGGGAAATGCAATAATTTAATGCTCCACCATTATAATAGAAATAAGCTGAATATAAATATGAAATTAGATCATTAGCTTATCATTTTGCGGAGTGAATAAAAGTTGGAGGTGGGAAAAATGGGCTGGCAGAGAGTGAAAATTAAGCGCTACTAAAAGTAAATAAATAATGAACAAACACGCGCAGAATGAAGCATTTATAAAGCCGCTTACAATCAACATAATCATGCCCCTGATGATGATGATAATAATAATGATGACGACAATGGTGTCTCTGAAGTGTTTGTGGTGGTGGATGTGTAGTTGTGGAGATGTATGGATGCGTGAGTTTCTGTGTGAGTGAAGACAATGCCAGGGCACAACAAAGCAACTTAAATGCAGGTGTGTGTGCGTGTATTTGGGCAGGTGCATTAAATGCTATTACCGCTGCTCTTATGCTCCTCCTACACCAACTCAACCCAAGCCATTTCGACCCAAAGGCAGCACCACCTTTCACTTGGCAACGTCCATTGTTAATATCTTCAAGACAAAAGGCCACACTAAAACAATAACTAAGCACGCATTAAGTAGTAAGTAAGTAGATGACAATACCGGGAATTTTCAAGAAGGTATGGGCGGTGGTTGTCCTGTCGCTAGATGAGTAAACCGAATCGGGCGGCATGGCCATGGAGGTTAGTTATGTGCGCAGCAAAGTACTTTTGCCCAAAAACGTAGGAAATAGACATAAAAGCCAAGCGAAGCAGCACAAGTAGCAAGAAGCTGCTGCAAACGACGAAGACGTGGCAGCAAATAAAATAAAACAAATATAATGAGATTTCGTGCAGCGGGCAGAGGAGCAGCAGAAGACCACTCACAAAAATAGGTAAAAACTTTACTTAAAATAATTAAAATACTTTAAAATACTCTATTAACATAAGGCTTACATACGAGAATATGTTGCTTTCAAGCACTTAAATTATTTTTTCTTTTAAAAAAATAATTTTCAAAATTATTTTATAGTTTTAATAGTATTTACTTATTAAATGTTGTAGTACAGTGGTTAAAATGACTTAAAATTAAAAGGTCACATTTTTACTCGCAGTGCAAGCGCCTTGTAGCCGCCCAACAAGCATAGCATACTTATCAGCGCCGGGCAAAGCAGCAGCGCAAAGATGGCGTCGCGGGCTATCTTTTGTCTGTCTTGTTTGTGAGTGTGTGTGTCTGTGTGCGTTAGCTCACTCTCACAACAACTAAATTTATTTTAGTTTTAACTATTTGCCAAGCACAAACGACAAACGGCGAAAAAGCAACGCCAAAAGTAACACAAGGGACACTGCAAAGTCGGTGCATCTGCAACTGTGTGTTTGGGCCAAAGTATTTGACACAGACAAACAAAGCTCACGCTCACACACAGAATCGAAACTATACACGCACACGCAGACACATTTTCACTTTTCAAAAAACATAGCGCACAAAAGCCGGCTGAGGACAAAGGATATTATAAATTACATACCAAGTTTTCTTTTTTTTCCTGTTTTGTATCTTTCAGCCTTGTCGCCTGGCCGTGTGTGTGTGTGAGTGTTGTTAAGTGGGTGTGTGTAATTTGGTGTGTTATTGTTGCTATTTCTGTTGTTGCCGTTTTACACTATTTTCCATTTTTTGTCGCCCCCCGTCCGCCGCCCGTTGTGTTATTATAATTTTAGCAGTTTATTTTCTTTTGCTATGCAAACTTAATTCCATTTCACTGTTTATGTGCTTACACACTTGTTCAACTTAAATATAGCTTAATACAGGGTGTCCGCGTATATTTTTAATGTGGTAATTTTTATTTACTTTCGTTTTAGAAAAGATTTTTTGGAATTAAATAAACAATTTTATTTTAAAGAAAATATAACAGATTTCGCACTGTATTTGTTAAGAATAAACCATATTTTGGAAACACTTGAATGGGTTCTAAAAATAAAATACAAAATAAATTGGAAAGGATATTTTATTTCTTCGAGTTTTACACATTATGTTTAATTAAATAATTGCTACTTTTTTTAAAGCTTTTGTTTTGAACCATAAAATTGTTACTGAAAATAGTTTGAAGTGAAACAAATTAAAAACAAAAAATTGGAATTATAATTTGATATTAACAGAATTAGTAGGGTTCTCTCAGGCTTTGTGGTCCCTCAAAAACACCCTGTTTGCTAGCAATCAAACAAGGGCAGCAGCAACACCAACAACAATAGGAGCGGCAGCATCATCATCTACAACAACAGCAGCAGCAACTACAACACCACGATTCCTGAGCAATGTGAAGCACAAAAAAGTGGTTACCCCGCACAGTCAAAAGTCTGCTCGTCTGGGCAGATTGGACGGACATTATTGCTGCCGCTTGCGTTGCTGCCGCAGTCGCAGTCTCAGCTGACGCAGAAGTCAATGTTGCTGCTGCTGCTGGCAGCGACTGTACCAAGCGTAGTACGCAAACAAAACTCACACACACAAAAAAGACTAGAGAGAGTTTTATATGTACAATTGTACATTTCGTCCTCCCAGAAAATCTGTTTTTATTTTCGTCCTCCAGAAGTGGGGTTGGTTTTCCTGTGGTGCGTCCCACAGGCTATAGACTCTGTCGGGACTATAAAAATGGATTTTTATTATGTTGCTGCCGTAGCTTTTGCTGCTGCTGCTGTTGCTGTTGCTGCTGTTTGTATGTTACCGTTGCTCCTGTTATCTTCGTTGGCAGAGTTTTTCTCTCACCTTGATGTTTGTAGGTAAAAGCCAGAAATACCAGAGAAACTTTCATCCAGCTTCATTCTGGGTGGTGAATGTGTACAGATAGAGCGCTCCTCTTTGAGAGCTTGTTGGGGCTAAGCTTTGGGCCAAAGTTTGTTGCTTAAGCTGCGGTTTTGGAGAGGCTGAAATACACTTTAGTGGGTTTTAAATATAAATAAGAAATTTGATTTAAATGGAAATTTTAGTTAGCCTAAATCATTTGATACTTGCAATATAGAATATTTGTGAGACGTTCTTCGAGTTTTACATATTTTGTTTTTATTAAAGTGACTAAGTAATAATTAGTAATTTTTGCAGTATGTAAAATGTTCAGATACAAAAAAAAAACCAATTTTTTCAACAAAAACATAGTTTTTACTGATTTTATAAGCAATTAATTTAAACGTTCGATTGCCAATTTCTTTCAGTCTCTTAATCCCGTACATCCATGTAGAGTGTGTTTATTTTTTTCTATTTCCATTATGCAAGCATCGTTCCCAAGATCCTATAAATCTATTTCAGTTGACTATCAAAAATCGTAAAAAAATCATAAAATCCATATTCCATTGAGTTCTCTATAAAATAATTCACTCGAATCGATGAGTGAGTCTTGTTTCAGAGGAGCTTCCACTCAAATCGAAAGCCGGCAGCAACAGTCTGCTTGTGTATATGCAAGCCTCACACAGACACAAACGCACACACCGATACGGGCAGCATCAGGCGGAGTATATAAGTATATATCTATGTAATAAAGAGGACCGGGCCCAGGACGAGGACCACAGGACGTGAGAGCTTGCCACCACAACTCAGCAGAGGGCACTATTGGGATTAAGTCGACGGCGGCAGCAGTACACTCTGTGTTTTTTATATGTGTGAGTATGTGTGTGTATGACTGTGGGCTAGTGTGTGTCTGAGCAGGATGCTGTGAGCGTATTTTGTATTATTTTGTTTTTGCCTTTTGCCATATTGTACATAAATCACCAGCAGCAGCAGCAGCGAAGTGAAACTGAGGCCGCAAACCGAGGATGCTGCTGCGCAGCTGCTGCTCTGCTCTGCTCGAAGGATGTGTCTGTGTGCGTGGATGTGCAAGTGTGTGGGTAACAGTGTGAGTGTGATGGTGCCGCCATTTGGAATTTTTCGAAATTGGGGTTCGCTACAACAAACGCATTTCGTAGTAGACGTTTAGGCGTCAACTAGTGCGCTTGGTGCTGCGCTTACACGTAAAGCACGCTCAGCTCAGGAGAACGCTGAATCTGAATCTGAAGCTCAGGCAGAGGCTGTGGCTGAGACAGAGTCCTGCCAGGACCTCCTACACCATTTAACGGCGACCAACTAACACCCAAACGCCAAGACTCACACTGACAGAGGAGACCTAACCAAAGAAAAGCTTCATTCAGACACAAAGACCGTAAAATAAATTTCAAATTACAGTCGTCTCTCACGGACAATCAAACAAAGAAACTTTCATTTCGACAGTCACACTATTTTTTAAACCTTCCTAAACTAAATATATATAGAATTAAACGAAACGAAAAGTGATAATGCTGTGCCAAAAATGAAACATAAAAATTATATAAAAGTGTCAAGGCCCAATGCCAAATGGAAATGGCCAAGAGCTCTCTCCTAAATGATTAAATCAGTAATTGATTTTAATACCGTTCTCGACATTGTGCGCGTTATGTAAAATATTTCCATGGGTATGTACTTGATGTTGTAATGGAATATACGTCTTCTATATGTCATGCAAATTCTTGATGTGTTTTTTAATGTCAATGTCATTTTCGTTACTGTCGTTGTTGTTATTGTCCAAAGTCAAATAATTTAACAAAACAGTCAATTTAACCACGACAAAGAATTTCGATGACAACAATTAATGTATTGAGTGAGTATGAAAAATTATTTATATAATAGACCAATTAAAGCTTTTTGCCTTAATTTTTATATATATTTTTTTAAAATTGTTTTATTTAATTTCGTTGAATTTATATTTTGTCACAAAAGAAAGTGATTTGATTTCGAGATAAATCAGTTCGTTGCTTTGAATTATTTATTATGTTCTAAGTTGAAAAACAATTTTTTGGCTTTGTCAAAAAATGTAGTGATG